CTCTCTTCATTCCAGATACGTTCGAATAGGGAGGTCAGTGCTTTGCAGGTGACCTCACCTCCATCCTTAAATAGCGCAGGTGGGAGGGAATTCGGGACAGCGGCACGAAAACGATTGAGAGCTGTGATCGCGTTTCGGACCTCGGCCTCCGACAGAGGCTCTAAACTAACCGTCCATGGCTCGTCCTGCATCACCTGAGTAGGAAGAGGTCCAGGAGCAAGGGGTCAGCTGAACTGATCTTGAAAGTGTTCCGCCCAACGAGCCATACGGCACTCCTTATTGTATCAGTGCACCCGCACTGTCTATGATTATCTCACTGACGCATGGTTTCCTGAGACCAGTGGTTCGGATCAGCTGGAAGAGCTTGCGGTAATTGCCTACTGCTCTTGCCTCCTCCATTTCTTGAACCCTACTGGTCCACCAGGCTTCCTTGTCAGTATGTAAACTCCGCTTTAATTCACGCCTAATAGCTTGTCTGGCCACACTGTGCTTAGAGCCAGCCGGGTTTCTTCTAGATTCCAAAAGGTTCACCGACCTCTCGGATATCCAGTGACTGGTGCAGTGAGCATTGATAGTGCCACAAGCAGATGCTCCTGCGTCGTGCATCGCGGCCGAGATCCTATTCCATTGAAGCTCAGTGTCGTTAGAACACGACAGCGAAAGTTCAGTATGCAGTTCGTCTTCATAAGCTTGGCTGAGACAATTTTCCAGTTGCCAATGGGAGGACACGATTGGTGCGCCTCCTGGTAAAGTTCATGGAAAAATGACAGCGTACCAAGGCACGATCAGAGTCGACGCAGGCATTCTAGTACGAGCGGCAATCCAGGATAGAACCACGCCACCTGTAACTTATAGATATGTGATCAATTTGGGTCTATCGCTGGCCAGCTACAGGAGGACGCCAAGTGGCACTTCGGCGCCCACTGTGTCTAAACGCAGTACCACTAAGAAACAACTGGTGCTCCGAACACAGTTGCAGCAGTCGCTCACCGTTGTCAGTCCGTTTGGAGTTGAGCCCATAATTACCCCCCAGCTGAGCTTTTGAAGAGCTCAGACGCCCTACTTGTGAGTTCATATCCGCTGTAAGTACTATAGTATCTGAACTAGTAGCACTGCGTAGTAGCGCGTTCAGTTCGTGATAGAATGTGTCCTTGACAGCATTAGAACTGCAGTCGGTGGGAGAACAAACGGAAATCACAAAACAGCGTTTTGTACTACTTCGTAAATTAACCTTAGCTGATATCGTCAAACGGGCTGCACATAAACGGCTGTTCACTGGAATCCAATCAACCAACGATGGCTCAGTCATGGAGCTTAGAATGATACCTACACCAGCTTGACCCGTGAGTGCTTCATCGGCGTCTCCGGATGCGTGCAACCAATAATGAGAAAATAAGCCGGGTGAAGTTAATTCAACAGCCCCGTTAGGGTTATTGATCCTGGTTTCGGACACACAACACACATCAATACCCAGTGTGTCCAAGGTGCGTGCGAGTGCAGCCTGTTGACCTGTTCGTCTCAGAGTGCGAACGTTGAATGTCGCCATGGAAACGGGACAGCGTGAACTTATAAGGGACTATTGCTGATAGACGTCCGGGGCGTGTCGCGAGAAGGTGGCTGCAGATGGTTCTCCTCCAGTGGCACTTCGTTTGTTGTCAATTAAGTTGGGAATTATAGAAGGAAGGTTAGTAATGGGGTCGGGATGGGAGTAAGAGAAAAAGGTGGAAAAGAAAGAAGGGAGGCGCTAGCAGTAGCGTGTTTTCGTGTATCCACCCTGCTGTATGCAACAGATAAGGCGAACCTTGATAATCTGCGCGACGGCCGATGCAAGATGAAGTTTATGTTGGAAGAAAAAGTCATGGTTGTATGTGAGCTGGGATACTGCCAGAGCGCCCAGACCTAGACAGGAGGACGATAAGAGTCCTCATCCAAAGCCTTTGGCTCAAAAGTCTGTCCGCAAGACAGTGAAGTGGCAAGGATTTAGTTTTACAGAAATGGACGCCATCCCATTTCAAACCCACAACCTGGAGGACCAGGAGACTGAGTTTGTCTGACCTCTCACCATTGACCAACCTGGTAGGAGTAGCTCTCAAGGGGCCCGGAGGCACCACCCAGTATAGTTCAATGGGTCAAGGAGGTACGCAAACCGTCGCAACATGTTAAGGTCCAGTCTCGTTGTGACGAAGTCGCAAAATCAGCGGGGTTCCTGCATTCGGTTTCCCACAGAAAGCTGTTAGTTTTCATTTCATAGTTGGTTTATTGAACAACCTCTTCGTGGTGCCAGCTGAGCGGGTCGGGATTATCCCGTTCCAGTGAATTGTTCGGCGGCAGCGTTCTAGGACCTGGTGGATCTTCGCCCGGCAATCGTTCTTCCTACAAAATGCCACATACGCCCGTTGAACAATACTGTGACGCAACGGATATGTCGTCTTTGGACGGAACTATTGCATCTTGCATCTCTGAGTGGTTCTGTTATTCAAGTGTGTGTTGGGTCCCTGGTCCGCTGCGGGTCTTAAAGGCGTCTGAATGACATTCAACGCTCTCGGCATGTAGTCCAATCCAGAGATTTGTTGGTGTCACTGGCACTAATCGTTTCAATGTTATACGAACAGAATGGTGGGAGTGTAACAGAAAAAGCGACTATAACAGTCTAAAGTTGCCTTGTACGATAGGATCAGATCAGGTTTGCTCGACCAGGACTTACCGTAAACATACATTGCAGACCACTGTAGCCTGAAGAATACGCTTTAACATATAAATCCATTGTCTGCATGGGAAACAAGAGCAGGCATACGAGGCGACTTCATCTCATGAATTGATAAAACAACGCGTTAGCAAAGACCAATGGAGGTGATGTTCTGGCATGAATGCTTCGTTACATGGTTAACAAACGGAACGAAGTACAGCTTGACAAGCCCAGTTTACAAGTGAAAACGAGTAGCAAACCGGTAGGAAAAATGGTATTTCGAACAGGTAACATTCAACGCTTGTCCGTCTGACATACGGTTCTTGCAGTGACGGAATCGACTGAGATCCGCTTCCAAGTAAATCGCGGTCCAGATTAGGAATGTGCATCGGAATCCACTCACACACCGAGTGATTCAAACCGACCACCGCTAAGTCAGTAGCCATTGCGACAAGTGTTGTCCGTGATTTGTGATTCATGAGTAAATGCTGGAATCGCGGATCCGAATTGCAGCCCCGCTCTCTCCATCTTGCAAGCGCAAACAAGTGCAATGTTGTAAGTGAGCGAAACACGATGCATAACCCCTAGGAACTAGCAGCAACCAGCGTTTTAAGACAAGGTGTCGTCATGTCATTACAACTTGCTCCTCAAATGACTGGAACCCGGAGGCTGTTAAGGTGAATGCAAACAAACGCACTATCACCTGGCGCAAGTAGCTAAAAGTGCTGACATAGGAACCCTTGAGCGGTACAGGAACGTTCAAGTCTGACGTAAAGGGGTTGATAGATGCTGTGCTGACAATGGTGACCACTTCGTCCCTCCCGTGATCTAAAGAACAAGACATCCGTCTTGCAACCTGGTGGTCGCGGGTTCGAGCCTGAGTTGGAAACCGAGGGACCCTCGCAGCATCCTTAGCCCATGTTCGACCAACGGTGGTTGCGCGGCAGCGAAGCATCGGTACAGCGGAATACTGAAGCCACTTTTCGCACTCTCAGTAAGCTAGTCATAACTCACATTACTAGCAGAGTAAAGGCACCAAGGCTTACATGGGCATTAAACACACACGGACAGCAACAACCCCATCGATCATTGGAAAATGAAAGCATTCGCTGGTTCTCTACTGCTGGATGGAAAACACACCTAAGTAAATATGCTCATTTGGGGGGCTCAAATACGATTGAAGAAGTCAAAAACATGTTTTACAGGCACATTCTTGAAAACTATATTAACTTTTTGGTTTCCCACATTTGACGTGCACAGAGATGATGATGACGATGATGATGAATCTCCGAACTGATCACGCCTGCGCTAGCGTGTCTCGTGTAAATTCGAGAATAAACAATTCTTATCATAAAGTTCGGCGGCAAAATTGTCTTAGTAATTTACTGAAAAGCTGACGACTTTGCATTCCGGTTGCGATAATAGGCTTATTCGCACGAATGCTGTCCAGAGGCTGTCTGTACTTCATCGCCGTTGCCATCAAAGTATGACAGGTTACGATAGCAACGCTACGTTAAGCATGATGATAATGATGCTCATCGACAGATTCTCCAGTCAGATAAACTGTGCCTCGCAAAATAGTTCTTGGGCAGTCACGCACTTTGGGCACGTATTTTCGGTGTCCTTACCCATCCGCTGGCTAAAAGCTGTTAGTCAGAGTATGAATCTGGCTTCAAGTGTGAAAGTACAAACATCAACTACACTTTGGAGTTCTCGACTGCCTCGCGTAAAGCACAATCATAGCTCGACTACATTTAATTCAGTTACTTTTAACAGACCCCCCTAGGTCCAAATCGGGCTGCTATCGCTTCAGGTTGACTTCGAATCCTGCTTAGTTCAGCTGTCTACGTCCTATTAGGCGAGTCACAAATATAGCCCGCATTGTTCCACCTTATCCACCTGTGGTATGAGTGATGGTTTAAAAATGTTCACATCAGTACTGAGGGTTACTGGCTCTATACGACTCAAGAACTGTGAACATATCTGAGTGGAAGTCCCAACGAACATTGTGAAAAGTAAAATCCAATGGCAGCACTTCACTACTAATCAGAGGTCTTTCCTCCGGTTTATGTTTCTCATCCATATACTGTGACACCTTTTAAACCGTCGGTCGGTGACCGAAGGGATGAGGCGTCAACATTATAATTCAGAAACCACCGGTCCGAATCTGCTAGGTACGTGCGACATCCCAGTATACCTAGACTGTGTGAGACCAGTGGTGATCGTGTAAAAGCAAAATATCGGTGCGGCATGCTGCTGAATTCCCTGCTGTTGCTAACTGTATGAAACTAAATGCATAAAGATGTGTGGTTACCTCGTTTAGACACAGATAGCAGCGGTTCCCCAGTCCCAGACCTGAAACGTCCCTCCAATGAATCCAGAGGAACGACTTGTTCAGGCTTGAATGAATGCTCAACTGTAAGCAGTGCCTCAGAGTCCAATGGGTATTCCTTCGGAGGATTCGAAAAAGCACTAAATTCTTTTCCGTTTGAAGACGCTGTAGGCGATTGTGCTTCCGTAGGTTCTGGCTTCGGTCTCAGAATGCAGAGACTCGAGGGTTGCATCATCTATGGGCTCAGCCGAGCGCTGCAAAATAACATATCAGATGAGTATCACAAGCATACAGAGGCGGCTCTAGTTCTGTTACGAATCAGGAAACCATTCGCTTATGTACAATTAAAAAACATAGCCATCATGAAAGGACAAGTTTAAGAAGAAAGTTATCAGAACAAGAAGTAGTTCCTTTGCTGAGCCAAAGCAAACAAAAGACAGGCTACCAGGGTTTATCAAAATAGCCCAAATGATATGTTACCAACACCGCGGATTGATGTTGGCAAAACACGTAATCGAAGCACGGTTGATTCGGCGGTAAGGAAAACTACTACAGCAATAAAGATGGCAAAAAGGCAAGTCGCGTTTAAGCATCATCAGATAGGCGACAGATGATGTAGTATTTTGTCCCACGATTTCTCCCGGATAACAGTAGAGGGCAACTAATCGAGATGAGTTGCTGATCAACAACTACAACGGTATCTCATCAAGTTGCTCAGAGTAACCGAAGGCTTCCGATTAGGAGTAAGCGAAACAATCTGCGAAGATGATGGCTCCCTAATCACTGATTTTTAACGACAGTTGGAGCGATGGGCCAAAGATTTTTGCTCGCAGTTTTCCTGGCCGCCAGCTCTGTTTCCCTTGGGGTGCGCATTGGTTATGAGTGGACTATCGCAACTGATCCTTCCTCTCACCAGGAAATCTGGCGGGAACTCTGTTGCCTAAAGCGTTATAAGGCAGCCGACCTTTATGGTCTACTTCATGCTCTATTTAAAGATAGGGCTCTTCGCTGGTTTGAGAACTCATGGCTTTGTTCTCAGAAGTCTGGACAATAGAGAAGGTTCCATCATCCTGGAGTGAGTCTGTAGTCGTCCCCATCTGCAAAAAGGGCCTGCGCACAAATTGCTTCAAGTACATGGGGCACAAATTTGGTTCCCGTCGGTTGCAAGATTCTGGTGTGCACCATACTTCGCAGGCTATCCCCAACGCATGAATGACTACAGCTGGAAGAACAGGCTGGGTTCCGTCCTTGTCGCGGCTGCATCGAGCAGATTTTCACACTCCGCCAGATTATCGATCTCCGCCAGGTGTATCAAAAGCCAACGATTGTTCTGTTCCTGGGTATCCGTGCTTCCTTCGATTCTGTCGACAGGGCTACAGTGTGGCACTGTGTGTTGAGGAATGGTATTCCCGGGAAGTTCGTTTCCGTTCGGCGTGCTCTGTATAGTTAGGGGTAGTTAGGGTAGTTAGGGCTTATGGCAAGCTTTCGCTTTCCTTTGTTGTCACCAGTGGGGTTCGACAAGAATGCCCTATCACTCTACCCCACTACAATTTTGCCATTGAGGATGTCCTCAAAAACGCTCTAGAAGACTTGTTGAACGCTGGCGTCAAGCTCATCCCAGGTAGTCGGGTGGTTGATTTCGATTACGCTGATGATATTGTCTTGTTGGGTGACGGTACGTAGGCCGCCTGGCGATTGAAGCGTTGAAGTATGGCAAGCAATTTTCATCATGCAAGTGCAAAGCGCTTTTTTAAGACTGGTATAAGCCACTATCTACACTCACCTCGATGGGGAAAAGTTAGAAGTAGTACAGAGTTTTGTCTACCTGGGAAGCTGCATAACTGCTGGTGGGGCCGTTGGAAAGGAGATTTTGATGCATATCTCAAGAGCTCGTCTCGCCTTCTCCAGGCTGAGGCATTTATGGCGCCGCCATGACATCGGTCTCTCCATCCAAGGATGGGTTTATAGCGCTACTGTCCGTGCTGTACGGTTGCGAGACTTGGCCTGCTCGTACCGATGACCTATGTCGACTGTCTGGCTTCGAGAACCGTTGCTTGCGGTCCATCGCCCGTGTTTAGTGGCTGAACCACGTAACCAACGCTAAAGTCAGACAGCTTGTCTTACTTGGTGACAGCCACTCCCTCCATGCGCTTGTCTCGCTGCGCCAACTACGATGGCTCGGACATGTACTGCGTATGCCCGTTCAGCGTCTTCCGCGTCGTGCCTTGTTCGCAGTCGCTGGACGGGGTTGGAGGAGGCGACGTGATGGACAGCCTACAACTCAGAGAAGCAGGATGAAAAAGCTGACGAAACAGCTGGCCACGGTTGGTTGCTCCCGACTCCCTGGATGCGGTCCCAAGGATGTTGAGTGCTGTTGGTTGGAAAAGTTGGAAGTCATGGCTAGAAAACGAACACAGTGGCGGACGTGTATCTCTGCCTGTTGCGGTGATTCCCCTCCCTTCCCCATATAAAAGCCTCAAAAAAAAACAAAATGTAAGTGGAAAATGGACAAGAAATTGCTCGTTTTCTTCTTTTACACTAACCCTGTTTTTTATTCTGCCATGGTTCCGACGACACAATATCTGTACACAGATTGTGATCAATGTATATATATAGTCATATAATATGTACTGCACGATAGCCAGCTGTTTGTGACGGTATGTTGTCTACACAAGGTGTAGGCGCCTTGACCCTGAATGTTTGCTTAGGGCATTAAGGTTTTTATGTAAGTCCCCTTTTCTCCCACTTCTTATTCTTTATTTCACAGGTCATCGTGGTTGTATGGCAGCGAAGCATCAGTTTCAAATGGCTGATGTACTGCTGTTGATGATGATAATAAAGAAATGAGGCCGCAGTGATAACCTGGATAAGTGAGTTAGGGATGAGGAATGACCTAGATGCAACGCATAAACATACGGTTGGATCAAGGCGTCTGCAATTCGCCAAAACCGTATGGCCATAAAGAGCTTGCCACCGCGTAAATATAAGGTATATATATGTATGTATATATATATATATATACATATATATATACATATATATATCTCAAATCACCAATAACAATTTGGAAGTGCCACAACACATGAGTAACAACAACAAAAAGGAGGAAGAAGAGTCAGAGGAATGAATGCAAAGTCTCATGTGTTGTGTGGGCAGAGACCTTCCTGGTTGCCCAGGCCGAGAAAGTGGGTTAACTTAAGGGACCCCAAGCCGAGCCTTTGGTCTTGAAGACCTGACCCGTAAGGCAGCGGGGCGAAGTTCAAGTTCAAGCAGGACTGGAACGATAGGACTATCCAGTGAGTGTTCCTTCTTCAGCGGGTCGTTGAATTAGGAGTTGGCGGACTTTGAAATACTGATGGACCTAACACAAAGACCCAATCACACTCTGTCCAACCAATTAATGCCATGTATCCTGCCCTAGCAATCCCTGCTGGGCCGTTTACGTGAAGTAAGAAAGAGAAAAACAAACTCAGAAGGCAAAAAAGAAAGTGGAAGGAGCTAAGCAAGCAGAATACCAAGATATCTGAGTCGTTAAAAAAAGAACTGTAAAGTGAAAATGAGTAAGTTGGGAAAAAGGAAAAGTTTGCTGTTGCCACCCAAGATCATCGAGCTGGCGCGCAAAACCATTAACCGTAGGTTCCTTAACCACGTGAGCTGGAAGCGAATTCCAGCGATCTATAACTCAACGCGACAGACGAGTTTCCGTCCTAATCTTATCAGACCGTGGTTTATGTAGTTTCAGTGGGTGAACACGGAGATTAGGTAACGTGGCGGGACTAAATAGCCCTGACAAGTCCGGGCCAATCTTACCCGTCAAAATACGATAAGTGAGAATCAGATCACCTCTTATCCTTCGGTAGTGCATTGAGTACATCCCCAAACTGAGCAAGCATTCAGGACACGTCTGTCCCCGTAGACCTTGCACTAACCGAGAGCCCACTCGTAACACCCTCTCCAAGTTCATTTTGTCTCGGATAAGACATGGTGAACAAGCCTGGATACAATATTCCAGGTCGGGTCGGACGAATGCCGAGAATAGCTTCACAAACAAATTGGCCGTTAGGATTCCGAAAGAGCGGCGGATAAATCACATCATACGAAATCCTCGACAAGCAGCCTTCTTCCAATTGTCGCCAGAATGAAGTGCTGATGAGTGTACGACCCCTAAATCAACCTGCTGAGTGACAACAGGGAGTTCACCACCGCCGACAACATATCGGGTGGGAGGGTTAGCAGCTCCGATTCGGAGAACAGAGCACTTGGCCCTGTTTATGGGCATCAACCATAAGGTAGATCATTCCCAGAGCCTATCCAAGGCACGCTGAATTGCCTCAGGACCCCCGGGATATCCACAACATTTCAGAACTTAAGGTCGTCAGCAAACATTAATGATGAGACCAATAGCTCTCCCGGCAAGTCATTTACATAGATCGGGAACAACAATGGCCTCAATACCGAGCCTTGCGGGACGCCACTAAAGATAGCTTGCCTGAGCGAAAGGCTACGCCCCACCCGTATGCACTGTTCACTCCCCTCAAGGAAGGCAGACACCCATTGAAGGGCGCGACCAGATATCCCGTAAGATCACAACTTTAGTGAGAGCCGTAGATGTGGAACAGTGTCAAAAGCTTTCGAAAAGTCCACGAATAGCACGTCTACAGCGTGGCCATTGTCTACCGCTTCGGTCCAGCTTTCACGAGCTACAAGTAGATTAGTCTGACATGAAAATCCCTTGCGGAATCCATGTTGCGCAACACTGAGAAGGTTGGATCTATTCAGGTGGTTCTCCACTGAACTCCTTCTCAGCTTTTCAAACAATCTGACTACTACGTTTGTCAAACTGACAGGCCGGTAGTTCGCTGGTAGAGCGCTGTCACCGCCCTTAAAAATTGGACAGATGATTGCCTCCTTCCACTCCCAGCTGTCCAGCGATAATGGAAACAAGCAAATAAGAGGACCAATCAGCTCACGGGCCAATTCATGCAGCAGCTTCGGATGATTTGAATCAGGACCGGAAGATTTAGAGGGATTAATGCCTTGCAGTATCTCGAAGACCTGAGACTCCGTTATGTTAAACTCAGCTAAGCAAGAATCCTCTGGAACTCTTGAAACTAATTCAAGCTGTGGTAAAGGGGTCTCCCGAGCAAAGACCCCAGTATAGTGATCACTAAGTATAGAAGCCTTGTCATAGTCAGTTTGCGCACGGGTCCTGTCTGCTCGCAATAACGCTGGTGTAGACAGTTTTGTTCCGCTGCGTCTTTTAACGTAAGCAAACAAACTTCTTGGGATTAGCTGCGGTCGAGTCCGATAAACCCTGCTCGTACTGGAGACGAACAGTCCTGAGATGTTGCTTACATTTATTTCTAACCTCATGATAACTATCATAGGTACTGGCTGATTGAGCTGCTTGTTAGGTTCGCCAGCATCTAGACCGTTTCTTGAGTAGGTACTTGCCTGTGGTATCTGTTATAGCGGAGGTAAGAATACTCCACCACTCCCCGTGGTTTTGTGAGTTTTATTCCACTCAACCCTATTCACCCCGTCCTCTTTTACGGTTCCCCACATACGTTTCTATTACTTCACCTTTGTGACTAGCTTGGGTTGACACTGAATCTTATGCTTAATGGTTTTTCCCCTACTCTGTACATTTTGCTCGTTCGTGAGACATCATATCGATCCTTCGCCCCGGGAATGACTAGCTTTGATTGATCGATTGTCAGCCTTTCTGCATAGCCTGTGTATACGCCCTAATTTGAATCATGTCATTGAGTTGTACACACGGACGTTTGGTGGCCGGTTTGGCGTGCGGCGTGAACATTATTTTTCTACCCGGTCGTTGGTGTTCTCACTACGGTTAGTGAGTGGAAGTAGTCGTGGGGCTCCGACACAACAGTATCTATCCATGGAAGCTGTGCCCTTAACCCTATTTTCCTCATGAGTTGAATATGGGGAGTGGAAATCTTCGTAAGGTGTTTCAAATTTATCCCAGGCTAACTGGACAGAGATCTCACAGTGCAGAACTGAAGCCTTAGCTCGCATTGCACTAAAGTCCGCTCGCCAAATATTAGGAAGTAATTCAACAGCGGTTTGTTGGTGCCTTGAAAGAGCACATGCGTGATCGCTGGACCCTAGAGGAGCACCGTACGAACCGTCAGTCATGAAGTCGAGGGACTTATCGAAAACTAGATCTAAAGTAGATGGTATTTGGTTGTCCATATACTTAGTGTGGAAGTCCACGAACTGGTGCAAAGGCACTTGGAGAGTCAGCACAAGAAAGCCCGCACCGAATGTTCCTGATGCTGAATTGCAAGAAAGATAGTCTCAACAGACTTCCGGGAGGTTAAAAGCCCCTGGGACTAAACACTTAATCGCAGACTGAGTGCGAATAAAGTCAAGTATCCCTCTGGAAGAACTTCCAGGACTTCTGTATATCACTACAAATGTAAATTGAGTAGAGAAAGTGCACAAAACAGCCAAAAGGGCTTCAACAGTCTGATCCGACGACTGGAATGTGCAAGTCCTTAATATATCCAAGTTACAGGTCACATACAGCACAACGCCTCCGCCTTGGCGATCAACGGAGCGATCAGTTCTAAGCAGCGCGTAGCCAGGTAAACATACCTCACCTTCCATGATATCGGGAGACAACCACGTTTTAGTGAAAGCAAGTATGTCGGGACGAGATTTGTCTACAAGTAGACCTAACTCGTGCACCTTGTTCCTTAGGCTACGCACGTTGCTAAGTACTACCTCAAGGAAGTCGGCGCGACCATTCCTGGGTCGTGTGTCATCAGGATGGGTTTTGATAGGGTGGAAAATAACTTCCGGCTGACCAGCTGAAAACCCACCAGACGAAAGTCTTGGTTACCAGCCGCCCGTCTAGTTTTGGGGTCTTTGATAGCCTTTTTTGACTTCAATCTCTCTGTCAGTGGTAGGTCCGGCTGAACGCTGACACCACTGCCCTTAAATTCGAATGCAAACCGTAGTAATGATTTGCTTTCCTCCGGAGTAGAAAGGACAACGCGAAGTAGTCGGGGTCGTGGATTTGACGGAGCGATAGGGACGTTCTTAGTCTGGTCAGCTTTCTGACAGTGACACTAGGGAAGCCAGGTGGAAGCAGCTTGCTGACACAGTTTGAGTCACTTGATGTCATCCAAGATGCGTTTTCCCTTGGGAGAGCAGACGCGGATTCAGTAACGTTACGAAATATAACGCTACTATCAGTGAAAGCGTCGCCACGACGGGGAGTATTTAAAACGCGTGTCTTGGATACGACACTCATACCAGCTGTTTTCACCACTGGCGGCGGGACTGTCCCTGTCTCCACAAGCGACGTCGAAGCAACGGTAGCGTAGATTTGCCGCTTTATTGTCGACGTCTTACTAGTTCCTAGTTTTTCAAGCCCATGGGAAGTTTTACGGGCAGATCTAGTCCGCTTCTTCTTATGGCTCACTGGAGCATGGGCCGCTGACCTTGTATCGCAATGAGCAGTTACCAACACTTCGTCAGAACGGGCTGGTTCAGTGGCAGCTGAGACGCGCAGCATCTTCGGAACGTTCTGGGCACAACCGTCTGACGACTTTACGACTGTCAAAAACGGCATCTTTTTCGATGCCGTGGCAATTCATTCTCTGGCTTTAACAGAGGGTTTTTGATATTTTCGAACCCTATTTTTCTTCACTTTGACCGGCTCACTAGGATAGTCAGCAATGCTACCTTTTGCCCAGTAAGATGCACGACTTCTTGAAAGAGTGACAGACCTCAGCGGATCGGTCGTCAGCAATGTTGCCGTCTATTGCAGTGTTTTTAATTGCAATCTTCAGGGATTTTAAACTCAAATCCATTTTCGCATCGAGCGACGCAATAGAGGCGAGTTTGGCTATCACGTTCTCAACATCTTCCAACCTTGAACTTAGCGCTGAAAGTTTAACACCACTGATAGCCGGGCGCGTCGATCTTTGAGCACAGAATTCAGCACAGCTGAAAAGAAAGTGAACGCTGGATGATAACATTTTGTACTGGTCGGCTTGTAGGACGGTACAGCTTTTGTGATACCAGCGGCAGCAAACGTCACATCGCATACCGCCAGATAAATCTGTTACTGGCTCTGAACAGCTAAACTGTCCGCAAGCTGCAGTAGACTCTTCAAACGAAGACCCCAGAGGTCCATCCGCCTCGGTGTTTAGCGAGACAGCCAGGTTCATGTGGAAAACAGAATAGAAGTACATGTATACAATAGTAAAATGACCGCAATAAAATGGCAAAAACAGGGTGCAAAACGGGATTAAAACTGGGAACAAAAGGAAAAACTACCAGTAAGCGCCAACGACGTTTTTCCAGTACTACTTTAATCGATCCAAAATATCTCAGATCAGAGAAAATTTGACAATTTGAGAGAAATTTGACAATAGTCAAATTTCGTTTCAAGTGTTTACTCAAACACTGTTTTCCATGTTATTTCAGCTAAAAAGCTCGACCAGTATGGTACGCCAAAAAATCCAATTAGCGCGTAGTACTCACAGGTCGCGATTCAAGACCGCTGACAGCCACGCGGCCCATTCACCCTCTTTGCGTTCGGGAGCAGTCCACAGAGAAATCGGTGGCCAATAAGACTGTTCATCCGCCCTCTGTTAGATGCTCACCTCAAGTTACAGAAGAGAGTGGTCAATGACGGAGTGCGTCGGATTAATCGAAAACCGCTGATCGTTATTTGGGGGCATTACTGTTTGCTGTACTGGCTGCTAAGGAAGAATGTTATGAACTACGTTGTGCAGCCTTGATAAGTATTTATTAAATATATATTAAATTATGGCAACTGAAAAGCAAGTTCAAGTGGGACCGGAAGACTCGGATAAATCCCCGTGAATGTTCCTTCTGTGACGCGTCGTTGATCCAGGGTATTATTCGTCTGCGATAACTGGAATCCAGAAGATTTAGATCAGCGAGCGCGAATCACACTAAGTCAATCAATTAATACCCACGCGACCTGCACTGGCAATCCCCGCCTCACCGGTCATGTGAAATATGAAAGAGAAGTACGAAAGTAATAAGAGCGTCAAGAAAAAATGTAATAGGTTTTAAAATTCAATAAAACGTTTAAGCTAGGACGTGAAGGAGCAGGTTAAGTTCAAGTTCAATTGGGACCGGAACCGTAGGAAAATCCCGCGAATGTTCCACCTTCGAAAACCTCGTTGATCCAACAAGAAAACCGGTGCCTTGATGTGCCAAAGGAGAGCCAAATCAACACACACCATTCATATGGTCAACCAAACAATGCCCACGTGCACTGCACTAGCAGTCCTCGCTGTGCCGGCCACGTGAAGAATAAAAGAAAACAGTAGTGTCAGTAAAGAAAAGAAAACAGAGAAGACAAGTTAATCGAATATCGTAGGCAATATTAAGATGTAAGTTAAAATGAGTTAAAGAAGCGTAAACCGTAATAGACGAAGAAAAGTTTAAGACACGAAGGGGAAGACTTTAAACTGCAGACCGAGAGCGCCGATTAATCCAGTCCCGCTTAGTCGGCCTCATAATAAATGAATAAATTTGGACTTCTGAGACATCACTTCTCTTGGTTCGGCTGACCTAATATTTCTGTTTCCGTTACTTGAAGAGCCTCGTGAGCTTTTCCATTTTTTACCAATAATCCCTTCTCATCTAGACCATAACCTTTTCTATCGCTTTCTGTTTTCATTCCTTTTTAAATCGGACGGCCAGCTTTACTGCCCTGCCGTTATCTTGTCTCACCTGACCCGTCTGTCTCTTTATGCCTGATTTTATTTTCCTGTTATCCGTGGCCTTTTTCTTTTATTGCGTTCCATTTTTATTTCCACGGCTTACGCTCATTGCGGTTATCCAAGTTATCCTGGTGCTCATGGTCTCCTTCGCTCCGAGCTCGCTCCAGATTATTGGCGGCACCTGGACCATTGCTAAGTATTTCTTGACTAGTACTTCCATTAGTATACTCAACTTACCACTCTTTCTATGCTCTTTACATTATGCTCGCATTTGTCTATTCTTGAGACCGTACATGTCATAACGACTCCCAATGCTTTGGCCCCTTGTGACCATTTTTCTAGCTTCTGACGGCTTTTGGACTGTGGAATCATGAGCACTCTAGCGTAATTACTCTTATGTACTACTCCTCGCACTGCCGTCAGCATTCATCCGCTCCTAGCCGATTCCTTGAATTTCCTCTTGGAACGTTGCTTTATCTATTTTGCTCCCCCATTCGGTCTCAACCTAGTTGTCCTTAGTTTCACCTAAGATGCCTCTCGCATTCGGACTGCTGCCATCATCATCGGTTTACCTGTTTCTCTCCAACCATCGCATCATTCGCTTAACGTTTGGTATATCGGTCTTTTGACCCTGCGCGTACAGAACCTTTTTCCTACCTAGTAGTTATAGTCTGAGTAACACCAGCGACGTAATGTATAGAACGCGCTTGCAAATCATGTATACTAAACAAACTTACGTAAGTTTTAATGTATAATAGGCACCGGTGAGCGCAACCAGTCTGTGTTAGTGCTGCTTGATTTATGGCTGTCTCTCTGTTTGGCTACCGTCTGTCCGTTGCCCGTTTTTCCCGAGATTCCCACATTTACTTCCGCCAAAACTTTTATCCACCGGGACTGGTGGACCCATCCTCTAACGCTTGGTCCCTTCTCCGGGAAAAGAAGAACCCACACATCGTTCCAAATTGAGCTCTTTCCGCCATTCCATAAATAAATAAATAAATATTCATTCACGACTATGCGAGGCACGCCAATTGAGGCATGATCAGGTATGTACAGCTGTACAGACATTTTATGGGAACTGTAGTGACAGTAGAAAATTGTTCATATGTCCATGCTTGGAACTGTGCGATGGTGAACATGCGAAAGAACGATTTGGTTGTAGTGGGTTCGGGATCCATTTGTTTAGACATAATCGCTATGCCATATATCGCAGTCATACCTCGAGTAATAATAAATTGAGAATCCTGAGTGATCCTTTGGAAGATAATTGAGGAGCACGCTATCCAGTATGAGGATTCTAATTGAGCTGCCAGTGTGAGGTTTTGGGCTGTGACTTTATTCGGTGGCGAGTCACATTCGCCACGTTGCAGTGTTGTTAAACGGACAGTTGTGGCTTTTTATAGGGAGAACGCTTGCCAGGCGAAAACCCACCACGTCCTGAAACACTGCCGCCAATCCATTGAATGGCAAGTTGTAACTGGCTATGTTTCTTGTTGAACGTTCTTTTGCTCCGTTTTTCGCAGTCAAGTTGCGTCCCATTTTTCTGCTGGCTAGCCAAACAACCTCCTCGTGGTGCCAGCTGGGTGGTTCGGGTTTAACCCCTTTCCAGCAAATAGTTCGGCGGCAGTGTTCCAGGACATGGTGGGTTTTCGCCTGGCAAGCTTTCTCCCTATAAAAAGCCACAAATGTCTGTTTAACAACACTGCGACGTGGCGGATGTGACTCGCCACTAAATAAAGTCATTGGCCCGTGGATATCCGGAAAGTGCTATCCAACCCACAGACGTCAATCGCTTATGCTCACATTCCTGAGGATAACAAACAGTCAAAAAGGCTGCGGCATATTCAAAGACACAAGCTACAGCCACACAAAATTACATAAGTATCTACACTCATACACTTACATACACTGTTAAGCCAAACACGTACTTTCTGTACATTTTTGATCACACTATGTTACCTAAGCATGATCATGCCTGTAAAGGTGTGCCTCGCCTTGTCGAGAATAAAAGTTTATTTATTTGTTTATTTATGCGAGTGGCCATTGCGTGCCAGGGTCCTCTCCTGCTCCAGATCGGTAGGTCAGGAACTAAGCATTCTTTCTGGATATGATGTGTTGATCGTCTGCAAAACCACGT